ATTCATACGTAGAGGGAATATGCATGGCATTAATGTTAGATACAGAGAGACTTTTTCAATTCCACGCCACAGCAAATCTCTATTTCAGAATACATATATTCACAATGCAATCGAATCATATAATTCTTTAGACCGCAGCTTAAAAGAAACGAATCCATTTCCCAAATTCAAGAAAAAAGTGAAAGAAGTTCTATTTGATCAGCAGCGAAATCTGTTGTAACCCATAGGTGGCCTCATCTTTTCCTATACTTAGATTATACTTTATTCTGTCGTTATTGTATACAGGTATTAATTTTCAACATTATTCTGTTTTTTTTTTTTTGTTTTTTTTACATCTCGTATTGTTAAGGGGGTTAGATGGTAGAATAGATATATCATCTAAATCTCGCCTCCTGTAAGAATATTACAAATAAAAGACGTTAATTATTATTATTTATTAAGCGCTTTTGTTTTAATATGGAAGTTAGGGACCCACCTTACACAAATGGAATGATTTTTTGCTAGTTTGAGAGACATCTTAAAAGAAATCGACCAAATTTATTAGATCCGTTATCGCTACAGACACGCCTTCTAATTGGTACCATGGGCGAAAATTAGTAGATTAGTAGATAATAGTAAAATCCAGCCTCAAGTACACAATGTCAAAGAAACGATGAGCAGACTTTATATTAAGAAAAAAGCACACAAAACTAGACCTAGACCGTCTTGTGAGCTTGAGCTAATGACTATGGTGTCATATTTTTGTTATAATACGTAGTGTTCTAGTGGCATGCATCTCCGAAGTCGATAGTCGTCAAATGACAGAATAGTCTCAGAGGTCAACTGATTCAGGGATGAATGAGAACATTAACCATTGAGACTCTCACAAAATGACTCTACTGTCATATTAAGAATTCTTACCCGCGACGCTGAATTTCACGAGGGAAATTAACAGGTAACCTCCACGCAAACAAGTAAATCTAATAACGTCGTCTTAAAGTTTTTTTAATCTTCAAGGCACTTTCGTGCAACTTTTATCCAGGTCAAAAGAAGCCCCGCAGCTTTTTGTTCGAGTAACTGGGACAACCTATTTTTGCGGGGCATCCATACATATTTCACACCTCAGCACATCCAGGTAACTCCCCATCTTTTAATTAGCGCTATTTTTTAAGAAAACTACCTGTCTGGTGAACAATAGAAAAGAAATGTTTTCACTTTGTCAGGTTTAATTAGAAATATAAATTAATGGATTTTGGGGGCCTTTTGAATTCGTTACAGAGGGATACAAGCCGCTGCCAAGATCGAACTTTGATGGTGAAAGCTGATTTTCTAAGCAAGATTAATGTTTTGCACCTTAAAGTCGCAAAGACGCATAGTTTTCGATCAATAATTAGGTATACACGATAAGCGGGCTTAGATATATGTAAAATGTCATCGGATTCTGTTTTACATAGCCAAAATACGTATGGTAGAGGTCATAAGAACCACATTTTAAGCTTTTTAATTTTTAGTTACCAGGAATTGTGAAGAGGTATTATGATCTAGTACTGTAAAAAAATGGGTCAGTCGGGAACGTGATCCCATCCATGTAAAAATGCCTCGTTTTCGAGATACTGGTAACAATTCTACTTTGTCATAAAACGACTAATAAAATCTCCAACAACTATTGCGCGAACTAGATGGAAGCTTGTTCTCTATGTAAATCGAGTGCGTAGATTCCGAATTCGATGTTAATTTAGTTAATTTAGGATTCCCGGGTAGCCTCAGTTAACTAGTTTCTTACAAATTGTTCACACCAAAAATGCAAAAATGGTCCAGTCGGTCACCATTCAGGCCGGAAATGCCTTTTTGAGAAGAACTCCACTTTGTCAAAAACGACTAATGAAAAATCTATGATCTAGAAGGAAGCTTGTTTTCTAGGTGAACCAGGTGCGTAGATTGCGAATTCATGGGTAGCCCCGGCTAAGTAGTTTTTTAACAAGTTTCTACCCAAATTCGGTCCTATGACACTTTGGAATATTGAAGCATGTGGCTTTCAGGAGTTTCCTATTTCAATCCATGAAATAGCAAAGAATAAGATCACAAGGCTGCCAGAAATTACTTGCTTTCTGAAAGACAAAACGTGAGGCAATTAATAGCGTTTATAAGTGCCTTTCAATGCTTGCGGACCTACTTTAAGCGGATGGCCGAATTAGTGGTACCGGGTGAGAAAGATTAAGTAAGAATAAGACAAACTTAACTAAAATTCTGACGGATGATTTTTATATATATTTTGTAGAACGGCAAGACAAAATAGTATTCAGCGCTGCTGAACAGTCCCCGCTGGCCATAACTCCTACTAGACGATGTGTTTCAATATAAGCTCGCCTCTCTTACTTTCTTGTATGACGGTTTAGTGAACAAAGTTTCATATAAAAATAATAGGATCTAGTATAATGCTTTTTCTGATTTTACTTTCCACACCTACGGGCGAGGAAGTATGGTAATCGCGAAAATGTTCGAAAATGAGATGTTACGTTCTTCGGATGTTGTACGAAGTCTGCAAATTAAGTGATGAGGGTGGCACCACAGCATTCAATCTGGCAACACTGGAGGCGTCGGGCTAGAAGGAGCGACAGGGGAACATGTGGTCCACCTTCAGTACAAGTTTGAACCCGCTCGAGTCATTTGGTTGTTCGCAACGATCCTTTTTGTGAAACAGGTTTTTCAATTGTGTTCTAAAAATTAGTGACATTAGCTTCGAGCAACCGTGTGATATCAGATTTTACGTCAGACTTGGGCACAGTGCTGAAGTTGAAAAATCACCTCAAGGGAACTCATTTTGGGACAGTCGAAAACATTTAAAACGGCTGTAACTGACCAGCTGCAGGCTGTTCCAGTATCGGAATTACACCACTGCTATGACGAGTGGAAACGGTGCGTGGCTTCAGAAGGAAGTCATTTTGAGCTTGACAATATAAAATTGTAATTACGGACCTCATACGACCTGTATATCACTTAAGTTCTTGGACCATCTATAACACGAAAAGTACTACCCGGAATTCCATGAAATTTTCATACGATGTAACTACTAGGTCAAGGACAAATAGGCTTTGCATTCCTTGAAAATCGGTCCAGTGGCTGTGGGAAAAAATGGTCGAGGTTAAAAATCAGGGGTTGAGGTAGTAGGAGGTCGAGAGGGTCTCTATTTTTTTGCGGCACTATATTCGTACACTTCCAACTTCAGTAATTTTACGCACCTATTAGTAACATTTAACATTTTAAGGTACTACTAAAAATACTAGTTAAAGAACTCACCTTTATCACGAGAAGTTTCAAAAAACTAGATCATTTTAATTAATATCGCTGGGCGGCAAACGTATATAAGACAGTGACACATCCCTGGAAATATTGGTGAGACGAACAGCACAATCTGCACCATTTTCAGCCATTTTAAATTTACTACCAAAGGAAACTGTCAAGCTGTGTCAACTTCAGGACCAATAAAAGTAATATTTCAACTGTGGCTTCACGCTATACTGAGTGTTGCTGCTGCTGAGTTGATATATATGCATGATGCCGAAGAAAAAAGTAAAAAACCAGATCTCAACGGAAAAATCAGATACAATGGAAGTTTACATTGATGGAAACTTGAACACTCAGAAGATTCTAGAAGAAAATAAACACTTAAAACAGATATTAGAAGAAAAGGATAACTAATACTACAGTTGAGCAATGAAAATGGAAGACTACAAGAACAGTACAATTTAACGACATCAGCCATACACGAAAAAGGTACCGTTGAGACAGTGATAAATAAAATAAATCAAAGATTGACTGAAATTGAGAAAATTAAAGAGAAATCATATGCCCAAGTACTAAAGCGAGATACTCCAACAATCAAGAAGGACCCAATGAAGAACATAATTGTCACACCAAATGGTATCCAAACATCTGAACAAATGAGAAAAGACCTTAACAAAAAAATTAGCCTTGCGGATTTAAAAATACAGATAGAAAATATACGAAATTCTAAAAATGGAGGAATTATAATTAAACTGGCTGAGGAACACCACAACACACTCAAAACTGCATTCGAAAAGAAATTAGGAGATGAATACAAAATCACAGAACCTACAATGTTTAGACCGAAGATCAAAATTGTCAATTATAGATGCACGGAGAAACCACATGAAGAAGACATAGAATTAGATCTTATCCAACAAAATCATTTTATTGAAAAAGATGACATCAAAATCAAATATGTAAAGTATCTCCCATCGAAAAAATGTTACACATTATTTGCAGACATTTCTGGCAAATTATTCAGGGCAATATTTGAAGATAACAATGGAAAAATTCTTCTTGGATGGCAATGTTTACCAGTGTATGATAATAACGAAAAAACGCAATGCAAGAAATGTCTTCGCTTCAATCACACCGAGAAAAAATGCCGCAATAACAAGACCTGTACCAACTGCAGCAAAGAGGATGTACACGATACTGACTGTTGTAAGCATGAACCGGTTGTATGTTGTAATTGCAAATTTTCAAACTATAGATATAACAAAAATTATAGTACCAACCACTCACCATTAGATAAAAAATGTCCAACTTTTCTATATTATCAACAGCAGTACAACTTGAAAATCCTTTTTTAAGAAAGAAGAAATTTTAGCCAAAATTTTAGAATATTGCATCATTTATGACACACGACTATGTAAATAACTTCCAAATTCAACGTATTAGTACTAATACTGCTCATGATACTAGCGAGCTAGATTCTTTTTTACAAAATCCTGAAATATCTGTTAGAATTTATCATATGAACATCAGAAGTATAAAACATAACTTTGACTACTTTAAATTAATTTTGAAAAGAATACAAAGTGATATAGATATAATCATTCTATCCGAAACATGGCAAGTGGGCGATGTGACTCTGTTTCATTTAGAAGGGTACGATACATTGTATAATTTTGGTAACCATAATCAAAACGATGGAGTGATGGTGTATGTACGAAACAATCTGCCTTATAACCATACCATATTTACAATCAACAATGAACTAAAGGGTATCAATCTAAGAATGCAAATTGAAAATCATAGAGTCAAAATTAAGACAATATTTTATAGTAGGAGCATGAGTTTATTATATCAAATATTTACACACAACCAACGATTAACTATTTTTATTCGGGTTAAACTGGAGCGGGTACGCACTGGCACTGCCCAGCAGCACAATATCCAGCAACATGTCCTTGATCAACACATCCCAATCTGCAGTTCGAGTTGATGCAGGTCACCCATGGTGGTATTACTACTTTGAGCAGAGCTGCCACTTGTGCTGTAATCAGAAAACAATGGAATAAAGCTTCATCGGTAGCTACAATATGTCATTTCTGAAGAAAATAGGATTAGGAATACGTGAGTTTTATGAAACTTATTGCAGCGCTGACATCATAACAGAAAGACAGAAGGTAGCTTGTCAGGTGCCAAAATCACGTAACCTTTTTTTTACTATTTTGATCACTTTCTAGTACTTTGAGTTTCTCCTTTTTAATGGTACTGCCCATTCCTAGGCCAAACACTTTTCAATGATTTTCTTTTGGTAAAGTTCATAGTTTATTGATTATACAGGTAATTTCACACGTATCATGTCTTTCTTTCTCAGTGATTCAGTATTGTGTTGGAAAAAAAATTCTGTGGTTTTTCTCCGTTACTTGGTTTTCTATCGAACATACGAGTATCTTCTGTAAGACTACTCATTCAACATTCCTTTATACAGTTGGGTGTTTCGTGTCAGTCACTTTTCTTCAGAGATTGTGGTGTGGGCGCCCTTGGTTTGACCTCCAGATTCTGGTATATTAGATGCCGAACACCAGTTTGCGGAGTAGTACCCCTTCATATAGTACCTTACGTTTAGTTGTTTTGGTTTGAGTGCTACCCCGTCCATTTTCATATGGGATTTTAAAATTCAGTCTGGGAAGGCATTGCGGAAAAACACCACACACTCCTCCAGCTTTGCTTGTAGCTGTTTTGCAGCTGGTATTGCCGGAAGTACCCCTTCCCCTTAGCAAAAAATTCTGATGTGAACAATTTTTGTTGCTAATACTTGAAACTTGTTGCATTGCTGCCATCATAGCAGAAAGGCAGAAGATAACTATTTCCCGAAAACCGATTAGAAAATGAGATTTTTTTGTCTGCTAAAATAATCTTTGTGGCACCCGTGCACCGAAACCATCCAACTATCAAAACAAAGATAATCCAATTTCCAATAAAGCTATTTCCAAAAAATTCTTGAACGTCACACTGAAATACAAAAACTAGTGATATTTCGGATCTCGCAACAGATTCCACTTAAAGATACCAAAAAAGTCCGAATACACTTGAACAATTATAGACACTTTTTCTAATAAAGTCTCCAAATAAAGTCAAATCATACAGACCCATATCACTACTGTCCATCATCATCAGGCTTTTTGAAAAACTGCTACTTTAGTAGCTCTTTAGAGCCATATATATAAAGTAAGGACTTACTAATAAAGTAAGCATCCTACCTCCAAGACACTATGTCGAGATAATTGAATATATCTCAAATATAACCTTCAGAGTTAGGCAAGAATATGAGTATTCTGATCTCCTAGATATTAATGTTGGATTACCTTAGGGGAATATATATATAGATCTATCAAGTGCTGTTAGTAAAGTACACACTGCTACCAATAATTTAGCGAAGGTGGAAAATCAAATAGAACGAATCGATCCAAGTTTGCTTTATAAACCGAAGATTGACAAATCATCTTTAAATAAGTGTTGATGGCATCATCATACTACTGAAGTCAAACGCTAAATATTTAGATATGAGCCTTGACAGTTGTCTCAAATGGAAGCACCATATCAAAAAAGAGGAAAGAAGTCAACCTCCGCTACAAGCAAGATTATTGGTATCGCTACCTCTCCATAACAAAATCATGATCTATAATCAGATCTTAAAACCGGTGTGTCTCTATGGTTGACAGCTATGGGGCTGTTCCAAGAATTCCAAAATCGAAATTATTCAAATATTTCAAAATAAAGTTCTGAGGAATTTGGTAAATGCCCCTTGGTATGTTCGTAATAGGGACATTTATCGCAATTTGACTTGTGAAGTGTTTTGTGTCTAAAGCATGGCATATGAGGGAGTTCCTGGTGACAGTATAAATTATGTGTTGAGATTATCTAAAGGACATCAATGGATTGCCTCTAGTGATAAGTATTGTAAGAAGGCACAGGAAAGTAAATGATTGATCAAATTGATCAGTTTTAATATTCAGACATCAAGCCCACTCTAAAAAAAGTTCAATATTGGGGCGCGAGCGATAAAGAAGGGAAGTAACAAGTGAAAATTCGGAAACAACATGTGAAAATCTGAGAAAACCAATGCTTTAAACCTTCCCTAAAGCTTTCCAAGTATGACTATCAAACGATTGGACTATTAGGTTTACTATACAGACAGTTTTACAATACCTCTGGACAGTCCAGTATTTCCAGCTTCAGGACCTTCCACTGGGAGAGTGTTGGCGACGGCAATCAAACCGCACAGGAAAATAACAAAAGCAGCCTTCATCTTGAGTATGTCGTTACAGTCTTTGATTTCGTTCGTAGTTAGCTCGAGTATCGTACGATATGAGGATAAGGAGCAATTGTCTCTCTTTATACTCAAATGATACGCGTAATTATTTGAATTGTGATTTCGCGTTAAATTTTGAATGACTTGTGTTGACTATAGGATTGAGAGTTGTTTGGTTCTGTTAACTCGATAAAATACAACTGGGATTACAAGTTGTTGATCGCGGGTGGTCTTTTCTGAAAATTGCGTGACAAATAGTTTGCACTCTGATGTCACTTAATGTATTTGTGCAATGTTGTTTACTATTTTGTGACTTGAAAAAAATTGTCTATGATTAAGCGGCTCCAGGGGGCTAGATAATGATGATGATAAAAACGATAGATGGCAAAACTTTAGATTACTGGTAGTCCAAAAGAACGTACAAGCTAAGATCTGTTTTAACGTAAAGCTTTCTTAATTCCAGTACAATTTATTGGTTTTTTGCATAACCTTATTCAAAAGGGATTCGTTTCAACCAATTTGCATGTTGTCAGGCCCAGCATTGCGTCATAAATTGTTTGAATACTTTCTTTGTATAAATTTCAAAAGTTGTTTATTCGCTCCAGTTTTTCAGATTTTGGCGAGGCTATGCTTCGTCTATCTGCCGCTCATGCAGACTATACATTGAACGCGCGCTAAAGCGATAACAAGGGTTTAGAATAGTAATACTCCCTAAAATGTTCTAGGATTTTAATCATGTTTGAGGAATATAGTATATAGTAACTTTCGTAACATTATAGTTGTGGTTTTTTCATAGGACAAAAGTGGCAAATTTTTAATTTTTAAAATATTGAATCACTTATATCTCGAAAACCATTAACTCTCTAGAAAAGCTCATAAGAGAAATTTTGTTCAGAATGCCACACAAAACCTAAAAAAGAAGTCTGTAGAGAGCGAAAAATACTTTTTCGGATCTGTCTGAAAAAAAATTCTATTGATTGCTGGCCTAAAAAAGTAGTATCGGAATCAAATTTGGCATTTTGACAGGTGAAGTCACCGGAATTTCATGCTTAGAACATCCACCAGCAATAATCAGTAAAACCACAGCTATAGTAACAAGTGCAAAATAATTTCAACTGGTCATAAGGAGTAATAATTATTATTATTTGATCCAAAATTCAAAACACGAATGTCGACCAGCCGGAGCCAAATATACACCGGATTCGGTTGCAGACTTCCTGTTAAGGACTTGTATGTTGTTTTTTGAATTTTGCAGAATGTTGGAACTTTATTTGGCAACCGCGCCAAACGTTTTCACAGTGGCAACGCCGCAAATTAACCTGATGTTGACCGCGCGGAAGAATTCGGAACTAGATAGACATAAGATTAAAAATGTACTGACTTACACGTTTCCTAAAAATAAAGTAAAAAAGTTTATTGAAGGTGTTCAATATTTGCAAAGAAAAATAAGCTAACAAGCTTATTAACACTTCCACTCCATGATATATTCGCTCCTTAGTTGGGGACACCCAATGCGTCCCAAAATTTTTGGAGCCCCTGTGTATAATTTCAGTATATGTAAACATGACACCAACCGAGTAATTTACATTGGCGGATAAAAACGTTTGTACATACTGTGGAATCCATTCCACTTGAAAAAATCCTACAAAGTGGCGCTCAGTCGCCATCTTGGAATATCCAATTGTTATTTTTACTCTAATCTCACAATATCGAATTTCGGCTTTCTAACTTGACCTCGCCAAGAAATAAGTAGGGTTTTCTGTCTGAAAAACTGTATAAGTGCTTCCAAATATGTCACAACTAAAATTCAAATTGTTTGAGTTTCATCATTTTGAGAAATACAAAAAAACTCAAATAGTCCTTTGCTTAACAATATATAGAAAAATAAGACATAACAAAGTTCCATCTATTGCCAGAATCGACCACTGCGAGAGTGAAAGCAGCAAGCTGTCTGTTGGAACTATATCCCAGTTCGCATTGACAGCCGGGACACCACTGTGGCAGTTCGATGCTTTGGATTCGGGTGCGATGGTAGATGCACTCTACTCGCTTTCGTTCATCCGACCACAGACGGTCAACCAGAGACAGTTGTTTAGTGCTATTTGGCAACTCCTGAGTCGGTTGTCAATGCAAACTTGCTGTTTTCATATTGCAATTCTGGCATCAGATGGCACTTTGCTCTCTTATTTTGATAGACCTTATATTCTGAACAGAAGATATGTGCTCAGCTTTCGTTTATTGTCCAACCGGGATCAAGCCTAGACCATGCTGACGAGTTGCCAGATGTAGTATGAAACAGTAGTCCATGGTCCGTCTATGCTTGGACGAACAAAAGCTATATTACTAATGTCTAGAAAACGCAGAAACTCAATTAGAATACGAATTTCACTAATCACTTTTATGAGCCGTTGTGCCTCATGCAGCAATGCTCATTCATATCTTAGAAAAGATAATCTGTGTTTAGAAACATTTTGGCGGAAATGTTGCAAATTACTTTCATGTGGGACAGTATATCTATTATGAAACAAATATAAATCAACAGTGAGATATATTTATTGAATAGAGATAGTGTATGACAGTCTCAAGGCATATTTTATCACAATGTATACATATATATTTTTGCTTCTACAGTAAACAGATACGGAGGAGCTAGCTAACAAAGAGAAACGGTACCACGATCCATTTTTATACAACTGGAAGGAGCACAATTATAGAATTGAAATTATTCCATTTACAGATCTATGCCAAAACAGTTTAACTTAGAACGTTTCAAATGAAACAAGACTTTTCGTTCTAACAAAGTCAAAAAGCTGCATTATAGAGTCAGAACAAGAACAATATTCTGGTAGAGACTTTCAAGGCTACGAATAAGGATGCCTTTGGTATGTCGGACTACGAGCTTGTGATCCATCTTTTTGATGTGTCAGATATTTATAAATGGAAATTTTATTTTATAACGTCAACGTCCTCTCAGAGCGCCAGCATGAGCAGAAGAGATGCAGAACATCAAAAGGCCTGAGCCTATGTACACGTGCATAACATCTACTGGATCTAAATCCATTAATCAAAGCTTGACTTAAGGTCCAGTTACATTACAAACCTGGAGGCAGACCCTCATTCTTCTACAGATACTTCCTTTGCCAGCGAAATGCAGGCAACATGGGATGGAAATAGTTACGGACGACGAAGCTAATGATGTTCAAAGCCAGGCGACCCCCAGTCCTTTCTGACTTGAATTTTCCGGAGACAGGCTCAGAAATCCAATCGTTGATCGCCTGAGTGACAGATGTGATGGCAGATTTAGCCTGAAGCCAAATCAACTCATATCTGATACCACACAGCAGGATAATTCTCGACGATTCGAGAAGTTCACGAATCTGGCCTGCTGTCTTTCAAGTATTGCCAATTCTTCTCAAAAGATGTAAAGAATAACGCATTCATTAGAGCAAAATTTAGTAAACATCATAAAAGTACTAACGGAGCTATTCTTCCGACTTTTCTCAGAAATGCAAGTGAAACATAGCGTCAATTCTATCATTAATTATATTATGTTCGGTTAATTTTCAGACCTAATGACATATGAACTATGCTTCTAAAGAAATTCATGAAAGCGATTGCACGTATGATATGGAATCGACCTAGTTGACACAAAGACTATTGCATTTATATAAAAAAGCAATAGCAATATGTCTAAGATTCCTAACGCCAACTCGTGGTAACACATATGCTGCACGCTAGTGGCCTGCCGTGAATATAGTAATCAATTGACCTGACTGGAACTCATCAGCGATTCAGTTTATCTGACAGGTGCACAGTATTACAGAGATCCGGGGCTTCTTAATAATTCAGCATCTTTCACTGATACAAAGCATCCAACATATACAACCTCCAGCCCAAAATTTTCAGCTCATGCAAAAGTTTATCTGAAGATAACCAGGAACATTTCAAACGCCAGAAAACGAGGTGTTAGCAATTTCTAATTTTTCCGTTTCAGCTGCCACTAGATAGGTTTTCCAAAACTACAAAGCCAAGGAAATATCACTTGTTTAGTTCTGCTGGATTACACAAAAGCTTTTGATATGATAGACCCTGAAATTCTGATACTTAAGCTGTCTTACTATGGTTTTACTGATGCTGCAGTCAATTTGATAAGCTGCTATTTGTCAAATAGAAATCAAAAGGTCTTAACAGCTTCGAAAATGTCACAGTCAACTGCTATAAGTTTTGGTGTTCCACAAGGTTCCATACTGGGACCTTTACTTTTCTCTCTATATATATCGGATTTCCATCAATATGTCCATAATTGCACAATCCATCACTATGCTGATGATACTCAAATTTATTTTAGTTTCCAACACAAAGATTTTAAAATTGCAGAAGCATTGCTCAACGAGGACTTAACAAGGCTAGTAGACATCTCGTGCTCACATAACCTAAAAATTAATCCATCTAAATCTTCAGTTATGGTTTTCGGCTCAAAAAACAAAAGAACATTGATCGAAACGGAAATTAACCTTAAAATCTATGATTGCCGGCTTCCTATAATGAATGAGTGTAAAAACCTGGGACTCTGGATTGACACAGAACTAAAATACAAAAAACACGTAAATTCGTTATGTATTGCATCATACTGCATTTTGAAACAGTTTTATCCACATAGGCAAATAATATCTACTTCAGTAAAGCTGAAACTGTGTGAAACATTAATTATATCAAAAATCAGTTATTGTGAGAGCATACAGGGTTATCCAAATTAAGTGTCCACCATTGGTAACTTTGTTATTAGTAAAAATACAAAGTTGTTTAAATTAGCAAACTAGTAGCATTTTTAACGCTGGTAAAAATGAGAAATAAAAAAAAACAATTGAGAGTCGTTATTTTGATTTTTTTCAGTAAAATAACATTTTTTTAAATGGAAACCCCTGTATATTATATTTTTTCTGTTAAAGCATCAAATTTTAAACAAAAAAGTTCATAATGACTTTTCCGCTAAAGTCAAAAATAAAGTCAAAATAACGATAAATATTTTTAATTATTTGCAGTATTATAATATTAAGACGGCTATGAAAACAACATGGCGTTCGCGATTTGACAGCATTAAGATAAGCGACAAATTGTTAAACTGGACATACTCGCAACTAGAAGGCTTTGGAAAATAATGATAAAATCAAATAATGTCAAACATTAGTGTAAATACTTGTTTATAAGCTTTATTGTGTCATTAATTTAAAGAAAAATGTTCTCCCATGAAGAAAAGTGTGATATGTTAGAATGCTATTTAGTGTGCAGAAAATCCTCCTTGAGAGCAAGACAGTGAATTATATCCCGCTCGCATTCAACCGTATGAACGATATTTATCGAAAATTTAGGGGCAACGAAAATGTTTTTGCTAAAACAAGGGCAAAAAAAGAATTCATAATAAGCGAGGCCACGGAAATTGCAGTTATTGGATATTTTGAAGCTTATCGTGAGAATTCAATAGCAGATATTCTCAAGGACTCTAATTTCAGTTATGGTACTGTTCAAAGGATTTTAAAAAAATACAAATTTATTCCGTATAAGTACCGACCAGTTCAAACGCTTTTGGCAGGGGATCCAGAGAGAAGACTTGTTTTTTGCCATTGGTATCTTAGCTTCTGTCGCCAAAATGTAAATAACTTTCGTTACCTTTTATGGACAGATGAATCAAATTTTTCAAATTCTGGAATGTTTAATAGAAAAAACCACCATTATTGGTCAAGAGAAAATCTTTTGTTAGTACATCCAAGAGGCCCACAAGTCCGTTTCAGTTTCAACGTTTGGTGCGGTATAATTGGTTCAAAAATTGTTGGCCCGTTCTTTTATGAGGGAACCCTAACTGGTGAAAGATATGTGGAATTTATGTCAGAAATTCTGACTAATTTCTTAGACGAATTGGATCTTATAAGTAGACATCATCTGCATTTTCAGCAAGATGGCGCACCTGCCCACAACTCCAGAGGTACTTATCATTTTCTAAGTACTACTTTTAATGATCAGTGGATAGGAACAAATGGCCCAATACAGTGGCCTCCCAGATCACCAGATCTAAACCCACTTGATTACTTCTTGTGGGGTTACTTAAAGAACCAAATTTACAAGCGAAGGTACGATAACCTTGACGCGTTAAAGACTGCAGTTAGGGAAAAGATAACCCAGATAGATGGTAGGACCATACTTAAGACAGTTCGAGCAGTTGAAAAACGTGCCCAAAAATGTATTGAAGAACAAGGTGGTGTTTTCGAGCATCTTCTTTAAAAAAAATTGTTATTGTATTTTGTAAGATTATAAGTTGATGTTGAAAATAAAGTTTGTCGATACAATTTAATTGTTTCAGATTGGAGGCCATAACTTCAACAATTTGTAACCTAGGAGAAAAGTTATTGTAAGCTTTTTTGTTTAAAATTTGATGCTTTAACAGAAAAAAATATAATATACAGGGGTTTCCATTTAAAAAAATGTTATTTTACTGAAAAAAATCAAAATAACGACTCTCAATTGTTTTTTTTTTATTTCTCATTTTTACCAGCGTTAAAAATGCTACTAGTTTGCTAATTCGAACAACTTTGTATTTTCACTAATAACAAAGTTACTAATGGTGGACACTTAATTTGGATAACCCTGTATATGGCGCAGCTCCATCATTTAGTGAACAAAGCAAATTACAGCGTATTCAGAATTCGTGCATCAGATTTTCTTGCGGAATACGAAAGTTTAATCATATTTCTCATAAATTTAAGAAACTTGGTATTCTGCAGATTAAAGGCATGCAAAAGCTTCACTTACTGACACTCACACATAAGGTTTTAGCTACCAAACAACCACAATATTTGCATAATAAGTTAACACGATGTAGTGACTTAAATCAACTGAATACAAGGAATAGGAATATGTTAGTGATACCCTTACATTCTAAGGCTGTCTACAAAACATCATTCAGCTACAATGCTATTGAATTATACAATGATCTGCCTGTTACATTCCAAAACTATACGTTATTTAATTTTAAAAAGAGGCTTAAACTAAAACTACAAGTCGAGGTCTGATGATGAGTACAAAATGCTAGAAATATGGACTATTCTTGTAATTGTTCTGTGTTGTTAATTATTTAGTAATTATTGAGAATTATGGATACCTTTTTGGTTGGTAGAATGTTTTATTATATATATATATATATATATATTTTGTTAAGGTTAAGGTTAAAGTGAAAAACGCTAATTTTAGCGACACTTCGCCTTTTTTGTACTTTTACTTAGGTACGAAATAAAGCCCATTTATTATTATTATTATTATAAAGCTGTTTCGCTTTGGCATAGTAGTAACCTTGTGTGAACCCGGGCGATACTCTCCAAGATGAGGAGGATTTTTGGAATTTTGCACGAGTACAATACTTCTTCGCCCAAATAAGGGTTACCCATATGGTGATAGTCGCAATATACGAGAATCAAAATAAAACATTTAATTATTCAACGTCTTTATTAGAAGGACCGAATATAAGTCGAAGTGCTTCGGTGTTCCAAATAATTAAGCAGTTGGTGAGGGAATAACGCATTGGCAAGATCCAGCTGCGCAGTATCCAGAAACAGCGCCGCTTTCAATGCACCCAAGCCTGCAGTTCAGGTTGACGCAGGTTACCCATGGTGGAATCACATACTTCAGAATCTCAGCTACTTGTTCTGTGAAAAAAAATGGGAAATAAAATCAGAACTGCTAGAGAAGAAACTAGAAACAGGCGCTTATATGTGTAGCGTTCCCCTGCTAAATGATTTTAGAACACTGCATGACGTACTGACTAGAACCAATGTCCACTTCCTTAAAATTTTGTCACAGCTTTGACAACATCTCTTTCGAGAGGAGCATATCAAAAATGATTCACCACATGGTCTTTGAAGGAGTTTACATGTACAAGATCTAGAGAAGACCATTCAGGTGTCGTATTTAATGTTACAAATGAGATAGAGAGAGAAACACATATGATAGAGCGAGATCGCGAATGAAACAACCACATACTCGTCCTTGCTATCAAGCACGCTTCGTCTTTTTCTTTCTATATCTTGCTCACACATATTAAATAGAAAACATCAATGAGTCTCTCTCGAACCTGTATGAAGATTTCAATGGGTAGAACACACTGAGCAACTGAATTAAAAAAAAAAAACATATATAGTATCACGCCCATTACAATAAAGCATACATAGTAGTTTCTAGAAACAATGGCGACACTCAGAATTAAGACGGTTCCTAAAATGTATCCTTTCAAAATGCCTTCAGGCTGAGTGAAAATATTGATCTAAACAATAAAAGAAGAACATCATAAAAAGCACATACTGACCTTTCTTACACAAGCTAAGCCGGATACGTTGAAATTACGATACGTTGATCCCACAAACAGAAAATACCCCGTTTTGAAACAACTTCCGCACTACATTAATGCATTTCATTTCACACGAACTATACTTATCCAGAAATTGTCAGATCAGATCTAGAGAAAATTTCGTCTACATCAATTAATGAGTCAAAATCCTAATATTTTCTTATGCAACATTTAGGTATTCTACTTTCAAGGCCCGCTAATCTGCCAAAATTAACATTTATGGTATCATTTGAAAATTTTTCAGTTTTACCCTCAATAAGTTTACGTTTCTCGAAACTATTTGCGTTATCTCTGACGAACCGTCTGCTCTAGAAACATTCCCACAATTTTTTTATCATTCATGACGTGTATATTAAGTGTACGAATTTGGAAAAGATTAGCGTCCAAGTCAATTGGCGATCATATTATTGCGACCACAAATATTAAATACGCTATACAAGTTTCACAAACCTTGGGTCATTTGTTCCTCTTGTCCGTTGTCTTTCCCTGAAGGAGCAGCACTGGCAATTGCAATCAAGGCAAAACAGAAAATCACGAAGCAGGTCTTCATTTTGATGAGTTTAGCTTTTACTGGTCGTTCGAAGTAGTATAACGATAACAACTAGCCCATCATTTTATATTCAAGAACTGTTTACTTGCAAATACTATTTACCCACAGACTTAATGTTATATTCGGATGACATGTGTTGAACTAAGGATTACGTAAAATATAGAACTTGACAGCAAAATAATACAAAAGTACACACTGATTCATGAATCTGGTGTAATGATAATGACTGACAACAATGTAAAGTAGATTACGAGTGACAGCGGATGTTGTGAATTAAACCATTAGATTTATGGTCCCCGGTAAACTTTACAAATCACACACGTCAACGACTTTTTTGCAAGTCTTATTGATGTTACAGGTTTGAGTAAATAAGTTGTATTTACTTGCAAGTCCCTACGAAAACGGAAGTTTATTTCGAGATGTGGGGATCGAAATATCCCGATTTCTACGCCACTGGTGAACTCTCAGGTGCAGAATTTTTTTGTCTATATTGGCTATGTCGTTAGTACTAGATGTATGAAATTTCAAGTCAAGTCAGGATTCTCATACTCTCAAACATATTTTGTCATACTACCTATTGATGTAATAATAATAATATAATAATAATAATTATAACGTCTTTACTTAAATACAAACAACCAAAAGAGATGTAAGCAGCGAAGTTTAGCCAACGCTTTTCTCACAGGTAACTACGGTTCCATAAGATTTTCAAAATATGAAAAAAAATGTTATATAGAAAAAAAAGAATAAACACCTATGTGAGGATAATAATGTCTTTATCTGTATAGCAGAATTTGTTAGCCTATGGCTCACAAAATCTCCGCAATGACATTGACTTTAAGCTAGTTTCCAAGGGATTATAGAGTATTGCATATGTATGAAAAACCACGTTGGAATAAAGCAAAATTGTGTGGGGTGATTCTGATATTATAGCGATTTCTAACCGCCTGATCATGTACTTCATAGTTGAATCGCAATTTACCTCTTAGGTATTCAGGTTTCGGTGATATGAGAATTTTGTGAAGTAAAACTAAGTACTTATATTTAACTATACCACCTAACTTGAGCCAATTTAATTCTTCATACTTTTCACTAACGTGATCATATGTTCGCAGACCGAAAATAACGCGAACGCGGTTATTTTGAATTATTTGAATCCGGTTTTTCGTTAACTTCTTAACTTGCTGTCAATTTTAACACCCAGCATCTTACCTGTGTGAGTACGTTGTGGCACTGTGCCGTCAATAGTTAATTGGAAAGAGTCTTCAACGTTTGGATACTGATATGTTCCACGTCTTGAGTAGCAACAGTGTTAAAGGAAAGGTAAATGTTACGTCTCTTTAATTAATAAAATTAGCTTATTATTATTATAATTTTGTTTTTATTTCTGCTTGATTTACAGTATCAATGCCAGAATTTCTTATCATGAGTACTGATTTTATGGTGTCCCTACATGAAGCTTTTCAATGTTTCCCTTAAGCAATTAAACTATATTTTCAATACAGATCCCAAATTTTTTTAAGGAATATATGCATATGATTTAGATGTCAAGATATAGAGTCTAAGAAGGAGAACATTTACGACTCACAGGAAAGTGGGTGTCAGTATGGTCGTTACTAAACTCATTCATTTTAATACTTACCAGCGTAAATGGGTACATTAATCGGGCATAAACTATGGGCAGACGTTTAACACCTACTGCGATTTTTAGCATCAGGCCTATTGTTGAACGTTTTATGAGGTGATAATAAAAGGGTATTCGAACGAATTAATGCATATCGAAAGGCCATATTGCAAGTTATTTGTTGCGTAATAGCCAGGGATATTTAGTCAGTTGACGTCAACAAGTATTTTTGCTATACGAATCAAGTCCTAAAATGTATGCCTTGAGTTGCTAAATACCCGTGCGTCGACATTTTGTTGGAAAGACCAATGCTAGAAGTTACATTGATCGCTTTACGATTAATAGTCGACTACAGTATTACGCCAGACTTATTTACTTATAACCCAAGCTTAATCTGCTAAAAGTATGGTAAATACGAAGAAAATACACAGTACAGTTCACGATCTGGAAATTCTCTATACTTCTCGTAGTCCTATACTATAACCTACATAGATAAAAGATTGAAATCGCTACGCAATTTCACCTGATCACCTGCAACCTCTGCTATAGTATATGTCAGACAGTGATTGATGTCCCTCTTTAGTAGCATGTTGGAACTGCCTTCTATAAAATGCGGCGATATCAGATAGGCCTCAATATCCCGCGGAGCGTGAACACAATACCAGGCAACTTCAGTATCAAAATTTGACTTTATTGATCTATGTCAACCTAGAGCAAACTGTAGTACCAGTATTCGCTTGTCGACCTTTAAGTAGACAAGTCACTTCTTAATAGGACATTCAAGTTTGAACACCTCATCGAGCTTTTTTTTAAATAAGGTGACGTAACTACAAAATGACGTGGTTAGAGATCTGAACGCCATAATTTTCACTTTGCAATCAGCTGTCATTCACTTCATGCTTTTTTTGTAGTAGCTGTGTGTTGTCATGTACAATCTGCTTCATAGATGGCACTAGCAGAGGCTATTCATAGCTTCTATGGCTTAAACTGTCATTTCTATACTATAAGTCGTTGTGCCATTATAGATGGCGTTCACAGCGAATGCGCGTGGCGTGTGCTAGCGACTATCTAGTACACAAGTGCCAAGTGTGTCGATCAGATCGCTATAGTAGCGATTATTTTACACAATAGAGTTGCCGAATTGGATATTTTAGTTTACGTTAAGCAAAATCTTATGAACGAATTTTAACAAAATTAAAAATTTAACGTCTTGCCATCAGCAAATACTATTATTTCGCTGAATACAATATATGTGAACAATACTCTGAAGAAATAACGTTCAAGTAAGGCTTCAGTGTATGCAGCATGTGGTTTCTGAAAAAGTAGGCTTCTACAATTCTTTGAAAAACAAAAGATGAGGAAGTCTTGAAGTTAACGACTAAATATAATATCTAGTATCTGTGCTTATTACTTAAAATCAAAATTATGGATAAGGTAAAAAGTCATATCAAACTTGAATGATATAACGTGTTTACACTACTGAGTCAGTATTTTTCTTCACTCAGGTCAACAGAATAAGAAAACAACAACAAATTGCCTTGTGTACCCTAGATTGTTGTTCTTAGCTGTCGTACAACAACACGGAAGTCAGCTTGCTAATCAGATTACCCAACTTCCTGCGCCACAATCAGTTAGGCATATACACAATAACAATAGAGCCTATTAATTCACCCTGCAGTTCATTCTTAAGGGGGGAACTTCTCTAAAGAAAATAACCTTATCGATTCACCGGCACTGAATGGAAACCCAAACAAAAGCCCATAGCTAACCGGTACCTCCACTCCAACCTCATTTTTCATCGATGTTTACCTTACATCTTCGTGCTCATATTGTCTATCGGATTACGGGCAAGCATCTCGCGCTATTCTATATGACAACAGAACGAGGATGCCTTGGGAGCCCTCTGGGAACAAGTGCAGATTCAATTATTATTCGAATCTTTCGGGATCGTTGAAGGTATGCTTGCTGTCTAGATATTGGTGAGAAGAACTGCTTACTATATAAGCCGTATGCAAAGTCTTGGGAGCCTTGAGACACAGGAATAACAAGGTTAACAACAGAGGGGGAGGTAAGTAGTAAACATGTCTGTTTACCCCACTTTGCGCGCCACCTGAAGGAAGCGATCCATACTAAACACATTGATAACTGCTTGAAGCATCAACAACAATGGTGAGTTCTTATAAGTGTCAATAACGGGAGAATTGTTTCAAAAAATAGACATATTACGATTTTGTAGCTGTTTAGTATGTTAAAGCGTATTGAAACAGTATCAGGCATTACTTGAACAATGGGGAGACGCCACATGGAGTCTGGCGAGAGAACACACCTGCACACATTCTCCCTACGAGATCCAGCGGGTGGTATCTCCGCGTTCGACATGACAACATCCGTAGCAAAGAGAAAAATTTCACTTGGGATGAGATTGGAACTTGCGCAGCGCACGGCGACTGATCAGGAGACCGAAGAGTCTACCATTGCGGCCACCTCTGCTGCCTGAAGGTATTAAAAAAATAATATTAGGAAAGAAAGAAATAAAGTTAAATTTTGCAAAGCATGTGTTATTTGTGAGTGTACTACACATAACCAACATGACATTCTCCGTCATATCTGCTTTAATGCTCACCAGCGTTGCTATTTATATGCTTCTTTCCGTCCTCTCGGCCATAACATCAATTTTCTTCATCTCATCCCGAGCTCAGCCCGAGATGTGTGTCCATATTTTGCACGGCTTTATTTTTCAATTACCTTACACAAAGAGAATGGAAACTCGACTACCAGTCTATTTGCAGTATATTTAGACGACAGCACTGTAAACACACGGAGAAATGTTCACACGGTGTGTTTGAGATTTTCTTCGAGGATCAAATGGCCGTTTATGGAATATAAGGCATCATGGCTGCTTTTATATTCTGCTTGCAATAGGGTAGTTTTCAATTTGACTGTTGTAACTGGATAGGTAATGTTGCAGCTATGGTCTTGCAGGCATGGAGAGTGTTCAAATTATAAACAATAACCTATGTTGTTAAAGAGGTAGTGGAATGAACACACACGTTTTGAGGTAATTCAGATGCAATACCACGATTATTGCAGCATAGAGGCATCTTGAACATTACAACAAGATGAAAAAGTATGCTGCATAGAAACAAATTGTCCGAAATAACTAATACATAGTCTTATAGAATCACTTCTGTGATGTAATAACGAACAGTTGTTGAATATCACAGGCCGATTCACGTAAGACAGATCTATGAGAAGTTTGTTTGATCTACCTCTCTCTTCTTTTGACTGTAAAGCATCACGACCATAAGGACTCAGTGTGTCAAGTATTATTTTTATATTTCAGCTAATATATTAAAACTGGCTCTTGCTAATGCAAAGCTATTTTATTTGAGCTTGTATATGCACAGCTTGACGCACGTTTGCATTTCACACGTTTCTTTTGCCCTACTTTATCGGTAGATATGACTGATATTAATTTTTGTGCGATCATA